CAAGTTGCTGTCGTTTTGTTCTTCAGTCTAGTTGTGGAGGACGTTGCTTCACTGGCCCAAGTTGGCACCATCATTGCGCTCTTCCCTGGCGAGGCAGATCAGTCGGCGGCTTCTGGACGGCCGCTCACTGCGGCTGCTGGCCGCTCACGCTGGCTGCTGGCTACACACGGTAGCCCATGGCAACCCACTGCCACAGGGGCTGCAGCCTACGCCATCGCCAGCGACTCACGGCAGCCCAGCTCCAGGTTGAGCTGTTGTTCAGCATCTTAGCTGTGGAGGGCAGTGTCACTGGCCCTCATATGTGGGATCCGAACCGGGGCCCTCTGGCGTCCCAAGCCAGTTCTTAACCATCACGCCACTCAGCCGGCCCTCCAGTGCCCTTTTAGTTTATATAGCAGGCACGACTGCTTTGGAGGATCAGGACTCTCCAGTGATATGGGCTTCCACATCCAGAGTAGGCTCCTTTATCTGGAGTATCCTCTCTTCTGGGGCTGCCTGGGTGACCCTGAGGTGGCCCTAGACTTGGCCTGTTTATTAAATGTAGCCAAATATCTGGCCTGTCTCTGGCTTCGTCTCCAGTCTCACTGTTCCTTTCTTTCTCTAGTTTCCCTGTCTCGTTGTTACCGTCATTTGAACAAATTCCCTGGCCTTCTTTAATATCTTAGCCTCTTTATTAGGGTGGTAACAGTGTGCGAGGACCATAATAATGCTTGCCAGTTTAGCAAAAACATCAGGCCAAGCTTCCTTACACTGGTCTATACTCTGATGCTGAGGAGGGCATACGAAGTCCAGTAGTCCTAAAATACAGAAGTTTACATAATTATTAGCAAAACAGTTTTTAGATTTAGTTCTCTTGAGTAACTAAAGACCTAATTAAGACAATATAAAACATAAAATGATTTTGATGACACGTAATATTTGCTTTTCACGTGGAAAACTTTTTCATAATATCAGTAGCAAACCTTTGTCTTAGTAGAGAGAGAAAACGTAACTAATTTTGCACCAGCTTACTTTTTTTTTTTAAAGATTTTTTTTTATTGGGGAATTGGGGAAGGGGAACAGTGTTGGGGAATTGAGGAAGGTGAACAGCCAATTTGCTGTCCTTCAATCTTAGCTGTGGAGGGCGCAGCTAGCTCAGCTCCAAGTCCAGTCGCCATCCAGCTGCCTGTCAGCAGCTCGCTGCAGCTCAGCTCAAGGTGCTTTGTTCAATCTTAGTTGTGGGGTAGGGGGGTGGGGTGGAGTAGCCCAACAACCCATGCAAGAGTCAAACCGGCAACACTGTTGTTAAGAGTGTGTGCTCTCACCAGCTGAGCCATCCTGCCACCTATTTGCAGCTCAGCGGCAGCTCAGCTCAGGCGCAGCTCACTGGCCCTTGTGGGAATTGAACCGGCAACCCTGTTGTTCAGAGCTTGCGCTCTTAACCAATTGAGCCACTTGGCCGGCCTACCAGCTTACTTTATTATTATTATTATAATTATTATTTTCAGGTGTACAAAACAATACAATAGGTATCCTTTTCACCCCTCACAAAGTGACAACCTCCCTCCCCCCATCTACTGCCCCCCACCCCTGATATCATACATATCTATTACAATTCTGTTGACTCCATTCCCACGCTATACTCCACATCCCATGACTATATATGTATTAAATTATAGTTGACATACAATATTATTCAATGGCAGCTTCAGATGTACAGTACACCAGCTTACTTTTGGTATTTAAATTTATTTAATCACATTTAGCTTAACCACACATAACATTTTAAAAAGATTTTCTTTCACACACCTTTTACAACTTTCCCAGTCCCTCTTAGTTTGCCTCTTTTCATTCATTCAGAAATAACCATCCTTAGGACAAACTATGCACTTTCCTTTAGTTCTTTCCAAATGTATTTCCATACCTTATACCTTCCCTGAAAACACATATCATTTCCTTTTATATTAACTACAGTCATAACCTTTATAGCCTTAATTTTTAACTGACAACCAAAAGCAAACAATTAGCACTTCCACTGACAAATCCAGGAACATATTTTGCAAACTTCAAAAGCATAGGCTTTTGTAATAAAAGATAAGATATATTGGGTTGTCAGAAAAGTCATGACGCATTTTTGCAACGAAAAACATGGAAAAAATACGTCATGACTTTTCCAACAATCCAATATTTATTAACAGATCTTAATTTATCTTTTCGCTTTATTGTGATAAGAAACCAAAAGTAGATGAACTCAGACCTATCTATTAATATTTCAACACTTATTATTTTGAAATACCTACATAGTTAATAACTTTTATCATTTAACACAACTTAGTAAAACTAAGATCTTAAGTTACCAATAGATGTTGAGAAACTATATCCAAACATCCATACTATATAATTATTGCTGAAAAGTTTCATTTAAAACCTTATTTATTTTAGTTAACATTTAATTTTTAACTCTGTGAGATTTGAAGTTAATTATTACCCAAGCTATCTTCTTGACAAACTTTGTAACAGATAACATAAATTTATTTTTGCAAACTCAGGTAAAACAAAAGATGCCATATTTGATGTTAGCAACCTTAAAACACATGCTTATTTAAACAAAAGTTAAACCAGCCTTAGTAGCAAATATTTTCTTAGATCATGTGATCCCCAAAAGTACTTGAGTTAGATTTTATTATTTATTTCTAATTTATATAAACACTCAATCTTTTATTTTAAGCCAATCAAATATCATAAACTGGTAATACCATCCGGAGGCAAAAACATTACATTATATATGTAAAACACAGACAAGTACAGCTATCAGAGATCACACACATATAAAGAGAACTATTAACAACTGCAGATATGACCTGAGATCTTACAATTGCCTCCTACAATTTTCAAACAGGCTGGAACAAAAGGGTGGAGATCCGGCTTGAGAGACTGACTAGCAGCTTTTTAAAAAATGCCACTTTTTTTTTCTTCAATTACCTTGGCCTCAGGCAGTGGCAGCTGCCATTTTGTTTACATTTCAGGTTATCTGCAAGGTCTTGAAAGTTATTGAGAGTTAGAAAAAAAGGAAACTTGTAAGACCTCCACTTTTGCCAAGTTTCTGAATATAGAGTTTGGTGTGTAATCCATACCCATTCCAAACTTTTTTGGTTTTTCCAGCCATCATGCTGTTTCTAAACCTACACAGGCCGACCAGGCATTATGCTTTCTTTTTCATGGAGTGAGGTGCAATCATTTCTTTTTTTTTCTAATTTATTTTTTATTTTTTTAGCTGAGCCATCCTGCCATCTGTAGGCAGCTCAGTGGCAGCTCAGCTCGGGCTGGGAATTGAACCGCTGTTGCTCAGGGCTCACACTCTTGAGCGAGCTCTTAACCAACTGAGAAACTTGGCCGGCCCTAATCATTTATCTTTTACTTTACATGAACTACCCAAACACAGCCTTGACCATGCGACTTGTAAAATTTTAGTGATAGAGCAAGCCCTGGATCGAAGTGGTTTGTCTTCCACCCCACAAAGCACATTGCCCTACCAACACCTTCAATGTGTTAGTTTCTTCAGTCTCATTAGCATGCTATCAATAAAGAGGATGGATACATGTCCCTCAGTATATTCAGGCGGTCCTGACCTCAAGCTGGAGTAGTTCACATAGCTCTGGGGCAAGGCTGAGTTTATGACATCCTAAAAGCTTACACATACGGTCTCTACCCAGTAAAGGCGTTATGGGCCAACTGAGTAGCGCTCCCCTCTCCCCCAATGAGAAACTTTTAAGTTTTCTTTCCTATAGAAATGTTAAGTCTCCTTCTCCCTAATTTCTTAGTTCCTTAGCTCCTGGCGTTGATTACTCTTCTAATCAGTTTCTGAATCCTAGGCTAAAGATTGCTCATAGTCTGAATCATAGAATTTTCCTATCCCCCTGCTTGATTGTTTTGTAAATCAGTTTCTTAATCCTAAACAATAGATTGTTCATAGAAATCGCCTACCCCTGATTCAGATAAATACTTAAAAGCCTGTGACTTCCCAATATCTCCCAAGCCACTCCAGACCTAACTCTTGGAGAATTCCATCCCAGAGTCTAAATAGGTTTTAACATTTCCCCAGGCCAGTATACTTGTTGATTGTAATCTTTGATGCCTAAAGTTCCTCCCAATCCATTCTGGACCCAGTTTCTGGACAATTGAGGCCACCTGAGTGACCGGATGAATGGCCACTGGCTTCATAAGAGCTAACGGATTTATTAATGAAAATTTATTTTTTTCCTCACTCAGGAGCCTTGGGGATACAGATGATACCCCAACAAAATAAAAACCAAAGAAGCCAACATGGTCTTCCAGGCAGATTCGAGACCCCTTCCTCTCATCTGAGATCAGCTAGGGTGAGAGTTCCGTGAATCCCCCAATAGGCAGGGACAGCTCTACACCCCTGCCCAGCAGGAAGCAGATACAGGAGAAAAGACCTCCTGTCCCTCAATTTCCCATAGAGATTTTATGGGGATCATGTCTCTCAAGGGGAGAAAACAAGGCAAGCAGTTAAGGGAAGGCATTGGGTCTCCACATTCCTATACCTCCCACAGAATGCGACTGTCCAGGAGACCACCCCTCTCCACCCAAAACTTCCCCTTTTTCATCGAAATTATCTACCCCTGCAGGGAAACAAATGGGTACAAAATACCCAACTAGTTCAGAACAGTCACTCGCACAGGTGCAGTCTAAAAAGATAAGATAATAACCTATTGTCAATCACAGGTGTAGAGGGACAGCCCATTCTACAGAAAAAGGGATAAAAACTCCTAGTCCTGGGCAGTCAGCCCCCCTTTTTTTAAGCGTTTTGAGCCTTGCCTTTGCGTGCAACCGGCTCCAAACTCTTTGGAGTGTACTTTTTCTCTTCAAATAATGGGCCCTTGAGCCATTCTCTATTTTTTGGGCCCGCTTCTACTTCTTTGAAATATACTATCTCTTGTAATAAACTGCTCTTTTACTGTTTTACCTTGGTATCTCGTTCAACTCTTTGCTCAAGATGCCAAGAATCTGGATACCGCGCCGAGAGGAGCCCACTCTCCGGTAACAAAGGGATCGGGCATTCGGCACATAAAGAAAACGGTGGGTCATTTTTAAATCTCCCATTTTGCATTCTAAAAGCTGGAGGAAGGCTTTTTGTTGTAATTGTCCTGTCACTTCCACCATCGAGACAGTGGCAGGACTTTTTGTTAGTTTAGTATTGTTGATGAAAAATGTCCAGCCTAAGAGAACGCTTATGAGAGTTTATTTGAGCCAAACTGAAAATTGCCAGGAAGCAAAATCTCAATAGATTGAGATCCTTCACAAAATAGCAGTTTGTAGTTTATTTTATACATAGACTCAAAGGAGGAAGGTTACATGAAATCCATTGGTGATAGATTTAACGGGGTGGGAGAAAGGAAAGTGGGGAAATCTCTGGGATTGGATAAAAGTTGGAGAGACAGGTACTTCTTTCATAGGTGGGTACAGGATAGTTAATAGTTCACTTAGAGATGTTAATCAAGGAACAAGAATAATAATGAGGGATTCTGTACTTTCCTGCTCCGGAAAAAGGGATTACTGACATTCCAAGGATGTGATTTTAGGTGCAAAAAGACAATAGGCCCACTTGAAGGCACAGATTAACTTCATGAAGGAAACTTTTGGCTAAAGATATGACTTCCTGCCATGGCCCACTTAGTTATGAAATTTTTTTTTATGCTCACACCATCTTTTTTGGTTATTTTCAGTCTCCTGAGCTTGTTAGGTTTAATATGTGGCCCCTTTTCCATCCACAGTATTTAACATTGAGTATGTAGCCCTGGTATCAACTAAAAAGTCAATCAACTTATTCCCCACTGATAATTGTACCCAAGACTCCTGTGGGGAAATAACAATAGGCTGTGTAAACTGGAGCGGAGCCCTGCCCCCAAGAACTTCTCATTCATCATCCCAATTGGCATATTGTCTGAGCATCTGTCTGCATTTCCTCTCCTCCTTTTTATCTCTGATCTTTTCTCTGTAACCCTTGCCGGGCTTTGGACATTCTTTTTCCAGGGTCCTTCCCCCTTACAGTAGGCACATTGATCTCTCTTTAGCGATCTCCTTGTCTGGTCTCTAGTATCCACATTTCCTAACTCTCCTTCAGGAAGATTAAGAGTATTGAGTAAATTTGCCTCCTCTTCTTTTCTTCCAGAATCTTTGCTATCTGGCAAGGGGCTGTTGACCTTTCCCTTTCAATCAACTTAGCCTCCTTCTCTCTAGATTCTCCATTATGTAACATTATAAAAGCTTGTACATAGGGAATTTTACCCCATTTTCCTGATCTCTGGCAAAACAACTCTAACTGTAAGATAGTATAGTAATTTAAAGACCCATTTAGGAGCCACTTTTCTTTAGAATTTAGGACGTACATGGGCCAAGCAGTGTTACAATAAAACACCATTCTTTTCTTTTCTTTTTAAATTATTTTTTATTACCAAATACACATTTTTTAGAATTCGTTTCAGCTGTACAACACAGTGCAATAGTTATACTTTTTACCCCTCGAAGTGACAACCCCCTCCCCCAATCCGCCACCCCACTTCCCTCCAATATCATACATATCTATTACAATTCCCTTGACTCCACTCCCACACTATACTCCACGTCCCATGACTACATATATATCACTTGTAGTTGACATACAATATTATACAACATCAGCTTCAGGTGTACAGTGCAGTGATCAAGCCTCTTCCCCATCCATGATGCGGTCTCCCTAGCAAGACATGTGACCACCTGACACCCTACAAAATATTTACAATATTATTAATTATATTCCTCGAACAGTCTTTCATGTCCCTGTGGCAATATTGTAATTACATATTTATGCTGTCTATCCCCTTCCCCTTCTCCCTCATCCCACCATCTCCCAACTAACAGCCATCAGTTGTTCCTCTATAGCTCTGAGACGACTTCTGTTTACTTTCCTCGTTCATTCAGTTTTTTAGATTCCACATATACATGAAATCATATGGTATTTGTCTTTCTCCGACTGACTTATTTCACTTAACGTAATAGTCTCTAAGTCCATCCATATTGTCCCAAATGGTACAATTTCATTCTTCTTTATAGCGGAGTAATACTCCATTGTATAAATGTACCACAGTTTCTTAATCCAGTCATCTACTGATGGGCATTTCGGTGGTTTCCAAGTCTTGGCTATTGTGAATAGTGCTGCAATAAATATAGGGGTACATATATTTTTTCAAATTAGCGTCTTGGGTTTCTCTGGATAGATACCCAAGAGTGGAATTGCTGGGTCATACAGTAGTTCCATTTCTAGTTTTTTGAGATATCTCCATACTGATTTCCATAATGGCTGCACCAATCTGCAGTCCCACCAACAGTGCAGCAGGGTTCCCTTTTCTCCACAGCCTCGCCAGCACTTGTCTGTTGATTTATTGATGATAGCCATTCTGACCGGAGTGAAGTGGTATCTCATTGTGGTATCTCATTGTGGTTTTTATTTGCATTTCCCTAATGATTAGTGATGTTGAACATTTTTTCATATGCCTGTTGGCCATCTGTATGTCCTTTTTAGAGAAATGCTTCTTCATATCATTCTTTTCTTTATTATTGGCTTATGACCGTAAGTTGACCAATTTGCCAATATATGACCCAGAGGGCTCCCAGAAGGTATAAATACAGTGCCTCGCATTTTTGCTTAAGACACAAACAAAGGAAAAAGAGGGTAAAACAAACCACAGACAAACAAACAAACAAATTACATATAGACAAACCTAAGCCAAACATGAGTACTCACACCAAATCCTTAACAAAGAGGAGCTGGGGGTCAGAACCTGGTCTCCCACCCAAACCAATACCACAAATGGGCCTCAGATGAGGCCCCCAAATGGCACTGATGCCCAAACGGGAGACAAAGGATTTCTGGTGATCTCTCCTGTCTGACAAGGCCCAGACTTACAGACCCGCAGTTTCCAAAACCAGACAGCTTTCTTTTTTCTCTCACCAACTTAGGCATTTATAAATGCTCAATGCCAAGGGGGTGAGAATTGGGAAAATCCCCAAGTCAAACAGGATCTTGGCAGCTGCGGGGATTTCCCGGTAAATCCCCTCCCCGGGGTCGGTCAGCCACAAGCAGCCAGGATCACGGACCTGATTCCGGAGTGCTACCCCTACTTCCCACCCCAAGGGGAGAGAGCGAGGGAGTGAGACTCACCATGTTGGTTTGGCCCAGTTGGATCCATTTCCTGGCTGGCTCGCCAGAGTTTGTTACCTAACTCAGGTTTGGTGCCCCTTACCGCCTGAAGAGTCCAAAACACTAGAGTGACAAGGGTTGGTGAGGAGAAAAGCATCCTTTGTTCTAGATGCTGGCTGCTAGGGAAGATGGCAGACTCTTGTCTAAAAAAACCACCTTCTCCCAGCCAAAATGATTTAAGAGGTTTTATAAGCAAGCAGGTAAATGGGAAAGAACAAAGGAAAGCAGACCGCAGGGCTAATAGTTGAGAAGTCGTCTCCTGGGGTCTGCTGAGGCCTCATGTTGGTCTGCCTCAATGTTATCTTAAATCTCATTGTCCATAGCCATCTGTGAAAAACTGCTGGGGAGTTGTGATCTTGAGTTCCAATGTCTGGGCACCTGAGGATTAGAGAAGCTGCTCTTTTCAGGTTAGGATGTTTATTAACTAACAAGGTATGGGTAGCCTTGAAAAAGGGAACAGAGTTCTTCAGTTAACCAGTGGGAGGAGAAACAAAGAGGAAATGGCTGAATATCAGGATGGATCAAACTGCAAACTAGCTAAGTTTAATGACATTATTGATCTATCGAATTTCACTCTTACAATCTCAGATGCTCTGAAAGTTTGCGCCCTCAGGTGGTTACAGTGAAAAATAGCCAAGAGGTCTTCCCTCCTTTGTGAAGAGTGCCAAGACGAAATCGTCCCCAGCCCTTTTGGTTCAAGCTTTAAAGCGTTGAGCCTCCTATCTTATTCTGGTCATGCTGGCTCACTGAGAGAGATCCAGACATTTTAGAGACAGTGAAGGAGGGAAGATCTTCTTCTTCCTATTCCAAACTTTAAAATTGGATTGATCCAGGGCCCTCAGGGAATTAAGATGGTCTTGATAGAGGGAAACTTAGTTGTGTCTACTTTTCATTTTTCTCTTGTTTGGTTTTTATGGGAACCTGAATTTATGAGTAAGTTCTATTTATAAAGGCTATCAGCCAGCGTTTTTGTTAGTTAGTGATATTAGTAAAATGGGAAGTAGCAGGAGGTGATAGGTGCTTAAGAAGAGATTTCATGAGCTATTGAATGAATTTTAGATGATGCTTTATGATGTTTTGAAGACATGTGTTTTGGGAGAGGGTGGCCTTTACACCTGAAGTTACTATTTTAGGATGAACCATCCTCCTTCAGAGGCAATGTTTTGTTGAAGAAAGTCTTGGGAAATGTCAAGTTCAATCATCTTCCTGGAGTTTGTGAGTGTGACCAGCTTAATTTCTTGCACTAAAGTCTGTAACTTTATGGGTAGACCACTGCTTTGGCTCCTATGTTAATCAGGATAGGCTAGATTCTGATGTAGTAACAAATAAACAACAAAGATTTACTTGTTGCTCACATAAAGTTTGATGCAGCCTGGTTGGCCCTCTCCTATCTTGTAGCAATGTCATTTGTAACACATGGCCTTCAAGGGCATCATGGCAAAGAAAATGATATTTGGAAGCCCCGTGTCTTAATTGCCTAATCTTAGAAGTGACACACATCACTTCTGCACACATTTCACTGGCAGGAACTAATCAGTTTGCCCCCATGCAAGGGATACTGGGATATGTAGAGGCATACCTGGTATATTTGATGGCTATTAACAGTCTTTGCTACATTCCTTGGGTACCGACTGACCATTAACTTCCTACCCCGCTCTCAGGGAATGTATGAGTGATGCTTTTTTTCTAATTCTGTAATGGACTGAACTGTGAACACGAAACCACCTCTTTAGTCTGATAGTGCTTGTTTTATCTAAAGCAGCGGTTCTCAACCTTCCTAATGCCGTGACCCCTGAATACAGTTCCTCATGTCGTGGTGACCCCCAACCATAAAATTGTT